TTAATTAGAGATATGTGAAAATATTGTTGAAGTCAAGTGCTGATTACCCACGACCACCGCAGCAGTCAATTTGTCAAGTGTGTTTCTTTTCTCGTTCGTAAATCGTCTAGGAATTGTAGTACACTTTACTTGAGTCTTGCAAACTGTAATTCATTTAACGATTTTACATCCGAATTAACTTCTCACATTTTTCTTTTGAGAATTCTTTGCACCATGCATTTTCTTTTACTTTGCGCTTGAAACAATTCTCCGTAAATACCATCATTGAATCACCAACCGCCAATGGTACTATCAACCGATAAAAGTGTAAACAAAGCAAGCTTGTTTCAAGGCATGACTCCATTGCGAGCACTCGCTGAATCCCCATAAATGACTTCGAAATATTTGAGATACGATTTGTTTCAAGTCGTAGTAACCGACTATTTTGAGAATTGATAGATGTATGATTTTCTTTTGCAAATAAAAGATAAATTTACTTTAACAGATTATCTATTTGGAAATTGATATTACTTATGTTACCAAAAACCTCCTTTGAACTGTACAACCGAAAAGTTTTCTTGAGAAAAGGTAATAATTATAATCAAATGATCGTAATAGTTATTATAACTGATTAAATAATCAATAAATAATTAATTAATAAATAATTTAGTACTTCAGAGAGAATAACAAAGAATTTTGTTTAAAAAATTTGTATCTTTGTTCATTTTAGATAAAGAAAATCGATATTCTGATGTTTTCTAAGCTCTTATCCATAAAGAAACGTCATATTAGGTTTCTTCTACGACCATTCAACTTCTGCGAGAATGATTGCACGTGCAAAAATGTGGAAAACATGCAAAAGCATGTATAATATACATACTCGAGTGCAATATATATGCATTTATGCAAAACTCGTCAAATGAAATAAGCATCGTTAAAATACTTAAGAGGTGAAACAAATTTCTCACTTGTCAGGCATTGTAAACTATATTCTGTAGACTTATGCATTTGCATAAATGCGTTCATCGCTCACTCGTCACACTGCAGAAGCATAGGAGTGAGAATATTAGAAGTTCTGTGCCCCCCTTATTAAATAGAATGCACACGTTTATTCGAATTTATGTTTATAGAGCTTGACATTCGAAGCTGTATTCGAACAACATCATTTCTTTTATAAGCTTATCAAAGGATCCGAATACTTTTTCTCCTTTAAATATAATTCTTTATAAGCACGAAATATTTAAAACAATAACGTGCTTAAACTTTTCCTGGAAAATCAATGAAGTTTTCTCTTCAGTAAACAATCCTAAGTTCATCGAAGACAATCCTTATTTTTTACAAATTCTTTTTCAATGTGAATAAATGATGTTGCTGCTTGATTATAAGCAGAATGAAAATGTCCCGTACTTCGTAATTCCTTTATCTCATTCTACAAAGAAAGAGGCAAACTACACGAGCGACAAATATCAAATGAACTCGACAATTACTTCCGAGAAGTTTGTGCGATCGATTTGAAAAGCACGATTTCTAGAAAACTTGAAGTCAATTTGAAACAATAAGATTTCGAGATAACTGGCGGCACATGGAAGAAGAATTATCGAAATCTAATCTGCGAATGCGTGTATCACTGTGTGAGTCACGCAGTTGGGCCAGTTTAAATCTCGAGTTTGATTAGAGGCAGGTAAAAAAGGTTATAAATCGATTTCCCTATACGTTCCTTTCGCACAACCGTAAATTGCTTTTCCCCAAGTTCAAATTCTTTTCGAATGAAATAACACGAAAAATTGTTTACATTTCTGTCCAATTCATGTCTTGCATATTTTCGAATATACGAGAAACAAAATGTCACGTTTCAAATTAATAAATCCGAAAGTTCATACTCATGTAACATTCTGAAAAACACATTGTTTGTATTTTTTTGTCAACCTCATCATTTAAAGTCTCGAATGCGAATAAGATAAAATTCTGTAAGAAATCTATTCAGGTTCTGATACAAATACGTAATTGTATGACATTTAATGTTTTCGAGTTCACGATACGTTTCAGCGAGCATGCTAATAACGGAATGAATTAACGCTTCAACATTTCCGGCAGGCAGGCAGCGTGAGAGTCGATTTTTAAAAGCAAAATTGCCATATCCGGAAACAACTCATAATATCGTATACAATTTTATGGGGCGAACTTCGAACGTTTCATTAAGGCTTGTAATAAATCCGCTAATTTACGACGTTCCTTCGAGTACAAATGATCTGACTACAATCAGTCATTATTCAAAAAATTATACAATAAATCATCGCATTTTAGCAGACAATGAACAATAAAAATAAGCAGTTGACTTTCTGACCTCGGAAAATGAACCGATGGAAAACGAGGATGCAATAAAATTGATTTGTTTGCAGAGAATTATGGTTCGCATATCACGTGAGGTTCTATTGCAAAAATAATATTTGCGATTGGATTTTTTCGATTATTACTGCGAAAAACAAACAGTTGACGCGAGAAGGTCAGAATTTGAATATAAAATAGTCAAGGTACCTAAGCGATGGTTTTCCGAGAAATCCGCAGTAAATATTGGTGCCAGATTTCATTTCTTTGCCTTGATATTTTCACGGGAGTTGTAATGCGTCAGTAAACACTGGTGTACATGGAGTAAGGAAATTATGCATCGTAATGTCACAATGTTCATTAAATTAACCATTCATTTGGCTGAGTACTAACTCCGCGAAACGATAAGTACGAAAGTGTGTGATGTTATATATTAAATAAATGTAGAAACCTTGCCAGAATTCAAATATTAGCTTAGATCTTAATAAATTTACTTAGTAAGCGATATTATGTGGAGTAGACATCATTTTCGTTTGAAAATGAACCATTCTTTCAACTGTTAAATGATATTTATTTGGTTTTATTATTAAGAAACTCTTTCTTCCAAACATGGGAAGTTAATAAGAAATTTGATACGATAAACTTCAGAATAACGAAATCAAGTATACGTAACTGCGGCTGATAAATGTTAGCTGATAAAAGCTATATACACGAAACAGAGAACGTCAAATAATTCAGGAAGTGAAGCGCTATTAATAAACTGCGGATTTGTATGCATTTATAGGAAATTTAAGAGTAGAAAATTGCGTGTTATTTATCAATATTCTTAATTCAGACGTAAATGAATTTCGTTTACAAGATCTGTTAATATTCCATACTTGTTTCTTTATTCTTATGAAACATTGAAGCTACCCAGAACATTTCTTGCGAACAAACTTCGTTTCATCAGGTTTAAATAACAAATGCATAATGCTATCGAAGTACCGTACCGTCTTCACCATATTTGGAAAACAGACAGAGTCATGAACATCCGCTCGTTTGTCCGATTATTACAGAGGTCGATAGTTTCTGCAACTTATGACCTGCCCAACATGCACTTGGCCAATTATTCAATTTTTTAATAAAGAGATTTCCACCCTTATTTCAAAGTTGTATATACGAGTTACCTGAGTTTATTAAAATCCAGTAAAACGGAGGATTTATTAATTCCGTAGTTTATTGCATTTTTGAAAAAAGAACTACGGAATTACTAAACCCGTTAAATTGACGGATTTTTCTGTAATTTGATATCTCATATACACAATTTTGAAATGAAAATGATTAATGGAAAATTGACATGTATACCCATTTTTTTTATTTAGACAAAAGTCAACATAAACTTTAGCAATTTTTTTAACCGCAAACAAGAAATTTGAAATCCGTCATATGAACCGGTTTGGTTGATTTAGCGTTAAATTAAGTATTATAATAACATCATAAAGTCTAGCAAAAAAGGAATAGACAATTCATATCAAGCTTTAAACCATTGTGAATCATCAGAATATGTGATTAAGAAACGAAAAGAAGACAACTTCTTGATAACACACAATAAGTCAACAATCGTGCAACAGATTACAGTGATGTAACAAATAATTTAGTCACAGAAAGACTGCAATCTCCAAGAAAAATAGGCCAAGAGGAATGGAAAAAGTATAAAAGAGTGGTTCTAAATTGCTGATAGTTATTTGAAATAAAATATAAAGGGTGTCATGTAACTGGTGGTACAACCGGATAGAAGCATAAAATTTGTTCACACGAGGCTTTGTTTTCGAGAAAATTGACTTTGAATATTCACCGGGTACTTCACCGAAAATAAAGCCTCATATGAACAAATTTTATTGTACATTTCGATTTATTTTTTGACATAGAATAATCAGATCCTATCCGGTTGTACCACCAGCTACATGACACCCTGTATATAATTTTCCATGGTTCTCACGGACAATTTATCGAGTTTTAATGATCGTATTTTTATCGAGACTTTAATGAGCGATAAATTACAGACAGTACTAACTGATATAGTGAAAAATATATTGCAACATTTAACTGGAAGAATTATCGCCAACGTATATGGAAAACGGAAAAATCATTAGAAGACCTTAAAATCGTATTGGAAGATCTATCACCACAAAACTATAACAGTAAAGACTAGAAGAAAGGGGATGTTAAACTTAGAATTTATTCAAATGTGAAGTTTATCCTAAGACCTATGTATAACCGTTTTAGCAAATAAAAATTCAATGAATTACAAAAATGTGATTCATTAGAAAGACAAAGTTATTAAACAATGTTTATTATATATTGTTCAATTTGTATACTGCTTACTTTACTTGTTCATGTTATTTGTTTGTTATTAAAATTATTATTCCAAACTCAATTCTTGAATGTCTATTCCTACCGAAATAACTGCTCCTTTTTTAACATTAAAATAATTACCGCAAGTTGTATCATGTACCGGTGTATAATTAGTATTCCTTTCATTTTGTTAATGATAGGAACACCGGACACGCTCTGTGCGAATAACGTATTCAAGGATAAAAAAACAATTCGTTTCACTTCTTCTTGTTTCCTTCTAAACTGGACTTAAAATTTTTATTAATTTTTATGAACCCATTAACAATAAATATGTAAATATAAACATTCGTAAAAGGACTCACCTATTACCAGTAAATTCGAGGATTTTCTTTTCGTTTGTCCGAAATTGGGAGTCCTTATACCCCCAGCCATTCCACTTCAGTAAATCCTGCCTTCAAACATTCAGAAAAAGGGTAAAATTTAATAATTTTCGTACATCATTGTCAATTAACCTTTTGCACTCGATTTAATACACGAGAAATTATAAAATGTAATATTTAATATTAAGCTTCGTGTAAAATTAACGAGAAATCTCTCGTTCAATTGCTTTCAAAAAATACCGTGTACTTCTCACCAGAAAATATAGAATATTTCTAGTGAAGTACCTTTGGAGTGCGAAGGGTTAAAAGTAGTTGAGAAACAGATTTAACAATACAATAATATTATATGTAATGTAATTAATACAATAACATAAATTAACGTAACAACATAAGCGACGGCAATAGAAAAGTTTTAAATTGAAATTTGGAACCCCCTCGGCGCGCGTTTCGCGCACCACGTGACTGAACGAATAACCAATCAGTGGTAAGAGTGAGAACTTTCGGACAGCTAGCAAGAACGCGATAAACGAATCGATTTTCTTTGAAAAACAATACAAATCGTTGAAAACAGTGTACAACAATGGTAAAAGATTTTTGAATTTCATCGTTCCATAAAAGAACAAATTCCGGTATGGGGAATCGCAAACATTTCGAGGAAAAGGGGGGAAAAAGTATTATCGATCGATTCGAATCTTGTCTATGCTCGTAACAGCGCAAAGGGGTGCCCTGGATTGGCAACATTCGGCGATGAGTCAGCTGGCGTTCGCTCCGAGGTGGTGATAAATAATTTACCAGCGTTCACGGTGTCGGGACGATAACGTTTCACGACGCGATGGTCCACCGTGTGTTCTATTTTACGCGTGAACTGACGCGAACCAGAAATCGCCGGTACGTGACTGACCTGTTCTGTGGTATAACACTCTGAAAACGGGTGGGTCCATTCAAATTCTCCAAGTCCTCGGGCGTTCCCGTTCTCGTATTAGTCGACATATCCTATCGACTGTGCTGCGAAGGGCCTAACCTTTCGGTCCACACAACACGACCAAGTGTAAGCGCAGGTACTCTCGAGCGCGCGCTCTTCGCGGCAGTATGTTGACTATTGACACGCACACCGGCAAACCAAATTTAAATCAATAGAGTCCCCGCCCTACGGCTGCCCGCCTACCGACGGATCTCTTCACGTCGTGGAAACAACCAATCACTTTATACCCGATACATTCTCTCCCTGGAAATGACGAATACGCTTTCCACTTGCTAATGGCAAGGCGACTCACCACGCTGACCATTCCTTACGCACATGTCCCCCATAGATGATATAGTACGCCTTTGCCAGATTGAGGGATTCTTTCCATGAAACCGACTGCCCACGCATGCGCGAACGGACGGACACTCCGGCACGGTGGATTTGTGAGATCAGTGGTGTGTTTGCTCAGGTATTTTTGTATCTAAAATTACGTGAACTGTGTGTGTGCGTTAGTTGTACGATACGGTGTCGGACTACATAGTATTATTTGATCTGATATATTATCGTAAGAAAGATACACTGTAAATTCATGTAGATTTCAGTCATCCCGAGCTGATTGTACGCCTGCACTATTGAAACACGAATGCGTTGGTGTTATGCTAAGTAATGTGTACGTAAGAATGAAAACGACACGCTGATAACTAATTTAGCATTTTCTAGAGATTAAAAATTTTCAGTGCTAAAGAGTGCAAATTGTTTATATAACACATGTATCTTTGAACTTTGAATGTGACCAATTATTTTTATTAGTGGTAATTTTATAAATCTGTTTCAAAAATACTGTATACGTATTTATGTAATATATGTAATTTTAATTTATGTGTATAATCTATATTGTTAATGAAATACATGAAATAAATTTCATATTGTAGTTTTGTCATTACCTAGTCACTTTTTTTACCAATAGAATTTGAAATATTTATAATACGTACCAGAAAATAATTCTTCCTTTTAAGACTTTATTTTATTGCATATATGCATAACACTAATTTTTATTGCACAGGAATATTAAGGAATGTTTCTTTGTATAGTATTTATGAAAAACTGCAGGAAGAAAACATTCTTTTGTTAACTCTACATGAGCACCATCTACTAAGATGTTTTATCATTAAATAACCAAAGGCGGGTTTTTTCAAAACTGATGTCCGTACATTCTTCAGTTATTTCAATTATACTTTAAAAATAAAATTTACGTGTATTCGGTAACGTAGAAATATGTGAGTATTCATCACAGTATTAACATAATTACATGCTATACTTCATAGAAAAATATTCAGTGTTTTCCTTTCTTTTTCTGTCTCATGTATCTAGTGACCTAGA